AAGTGGTTAAATGCTATGAAAGAAGAATTAAAATCCAAGGAACAAAATGATGTTTGGGACCTTGTAAAATTGCCAGAAGGTTGCAAGAGAGTTGGTTGTAAATGGGTCTTTAAGACTAAACGTGACTCTGATGGCAACCTTGAAAGGTGCAAGGCTAGACTTGTTGCTAAGGGTTTTACTAAAAAAGATGGCATTGATTACAAAGAGACTTTTTCACCCGTCTCACGAAAAAATTCATTTAGAATTATCATGGCATTAGTAGCCCATTATGACTTGGAGCTACATCAAATGGATGTGAAAACCGCCTTTCTAAATTGAAATTTGGAGGAGAATGTTTACATGGACCAACCAATGAGGTTCTCAGTTGAAGGAAAGGAACACATGGTGTACAAATTAAAGAAAACAATATATGGACTTAAGCAAGCTTCCCGCCAATGGTATTTAAAGTTTAATGATACCATTGTTTCCTTCGAGTTTAAAGAAAACATTATTGATCGATGCATATATTTGAAGGTCAGTGGGAGTAAAGTTATATTTTTAATTCTGTATGTTGATGATATCTTGCTTGCAACTAATGATCTTGGTCTTCTTCATGAGACTAAGAAGTTTCTCTCTAGTAACTTTGAAATGAAAGATATAGGCGAGGCAAGCTATGTAATACGAATAGAAATATTCCGAGATAGATCACAAGGACTGTTAGGCTTGTCTCAGAAAGCATATATCAATAAAGTACTAGAGAGATTCAAGATGGAAAAGTGCTCAGCATCGCCCGTTCCAATTCAGAAAGGAGATAAGTTTAGTCTCACTTAATGTCCTAAAAATGACTTGGAACAAAAACAAATGGAAGCAATTTCATATGCATCAGTTGTTGGGAGTATCATGTATGCTCAGATCTGTACTCGAGCAGATATAAGCTTTGCAGCTGGGGTGTTAGGAAGATATTAAAGTAATCCGGGAATGGAACATTGGAAAGCTGCAAAGAAAGTTCTGAGATACTTACAGGGAACAAAGTGTCACATGCTTACATATAGGAGGTCTAATCACCTTGACGTGATTGGATATTCAGACTCTGATTTTTCTTGATGTGTGGATTCAAGAAAATCCACTCTTGGCTATGTATTTCTTTTGGCTAGAGGAGCAATATCATGGAAAAGTGCAAAACAAACAGTTGTTGCTTCATCGACTATGAAAGCTGAATTTGTAGCATGTTTTGAGGCTACAATTCAAGCTAATTGGTTGTTAAACTTTATTTCAGGGTTTGGAATTGTCGACAATATTGCTAAGCCGCTGAAAATGTATTATGATAATTCTGTAGCAGTATTTTTTTCTAAGAACGACAAGTACTCTAAGGGTGCTAAGCATATGGAATTAAAGTACTTTGTCGTGAAGGAGGAAGTTCAGAAACAAAGAGTGTCAATAGAATATATTAGCACAAATCTTATGATAGCTGATCCTTTAACAAAGGGATTACTGCCCAAAACATTTATTGAACATGTTAAAAATATGGGCATTATTGTTACTAATGATTGTTGAGTATCATGTTTATTTTGTATTAAGTGATTGACATTTTGAGCTCATTAATGATATTTTTTTGAGTACCTGTTTTCTATAGTTTTATGCATATTTGTCTTAGAGTAATATAAACAGGTGTTATCTTGAATAAAGATATAAAGTTGGACCAAGTATGTGCTCCTTATTAATGATCATTTTAAGAAGAAGACTTGTTTGTAGTACATGGAAGGGACTATGTCGATTAAACTGATGTACAATCGCCATGACTCAAATTAGTTCATATTTTTAAATATAAAATTATGATGAACCCAATGTATAAAATGATTTGGCCATTTTAATGCGCATTATATTAATTTTATTTATTTATTTATTTGTCCGTTATGAGAAATGTCACACGAGTCAAGAGGGAGAATGTAAGATAATTATGTCTCATGTGGGAAATATGTGATATATAAAGGGACTAATTGTTATTTGATGGGAATAACAATCTTTAGGGGTTATAAATATCCACTAATGTGAGACAAGGTCCACACCCCTGACAGAAAGTATTCTCTCAAACCCTAGCCATCACGAAAGATAGAGAAGGTAGAAAGAAAAGTCAAAGGGAATGAAATCTTGGTTCTCTTCTCAAGAAGATCAAAGCACTCTAAGGATCAAAGGAGATTTCCATTATGGAGAAAGGTACACACTTTCTTATTATTATGTGAGTATCATGAATTTCAAAGATCCTTTAATTTTCTATAATTGATGTATTAGAAAATAATAGAACTTACATCATGTAGTTCTTTGGTAGAAAATATTTGTGTGTTAAAATTTTTTAATTTTATGTTTGCTAAAATCTTATGATTTATGAATTGTAGTTCACGTGTTCTAAATTGTAAAATTGACAGAGGTATACACTTAAGTCAATCTATTTGAATATCTTAATTATTATTTATTATTATAGAAGGATTATAAAACTATTTTCACATTTTTCTAGATAGTTACACTTGTCAAATTGTGAAGGTTTATTTTCTCTAAACTCAATTAATCTTTTTGATTCGACAGGTCCTTCAAGTCTTTGATTTCCTTGTCTCAACAAAGCTGTAGTCATGTCCTTGATAGCTTTCACATGCTTATTAATTCAATATTTCTTCTATCATTTTCTATATGAAATTATACAAGTTAGAATTCATTATATTAGGAATTTGGTTAGCTCATTACCTAAGTCACGCATGAAACATTATTATGATACTATCTAAATGTGAAACTTTTTTAATTAAAGAAACTCTAACATTGAATTAATTGTAGATAAAGAAAAGACAAGTTTATTTGTTTACTGATATTCACATCGTTACAAGTCATAACAAATATTAGCTATACCTATATTTAAAAATGATCATATATTTTTGTGTATAATTTTTGGACTATTTTACCCATAAATTTTTAAGTAATAAAAAATAATATTAAAAATTAATTAATCTTACAAATCCAAGACTCGAAGATAAGATCTTAAAGTTTGAAGATTATACACAACATAAATTGATTCAACAAATAACATTGGTAATTCTTAAATACCTTTAAACAAATATAGAGACACAAAGTGTCTTGACCCCTTTAATATATTATAAAGGGGGTTGACATCGTTGGTTGGCAAAAGAGTAAACGTGATGGTCATAGGACCATGAAGGATGATTGCCATTGAATTGTTTGGAAGTGCTATTACTAAAAAAACCTTGTCCTTTAAAGGTGATGGTATTGTTTTGTGTATCAACTGTCCACTACAATCAAAGAAAAATGACATCTAGTGCAGTGAACAGGCCAATAAAGGGTGAATCCATCTATTTAATCAAATTATAATTATATTTTATTTTATTTTTCAAAAACAAAATTCAAAAGAAAACAAGAAATATAAAAGGAATGAAAACATATATCATATCAATCAAGTAAATAAAAATAATACACACAATATATACATATATATATATATATATATATATATATATATATATATGACTTAAATATGTTTAAACTACCTCGAATTAGCTCGATTTTTAGATTACTACTTTTTTAAAAAAACATTTGTTAAAATTACCTGACAATTTTTTTTTTCAATTTAGTACCTGACATTAGTTTCCTCTGTTAAATGATGACGTGGCAAACGGACTGCCACTGTTGGGTGATGATGTGGCAGTTTGTCTGCCACGTCATCACTTGATAGAGGAAGACCAACGTCAGGTACTAAATTGAAGAAAAAAAAATAGTCAGGTATTTAAAACAAAAAATAATAAATTAATAGGTAGTAATCTGAAAAACTGACCTAATGGAAGGTAGTTTAAACATATTTAAGCCGCACTTGAAGTTGAGGAATAACAATGCAATTCACTGTTATATAGGCTGTTATAGAGAGATATACAATTTCCTAAAAAGTGCAATACACATTCAAAAGTCGTCCCTGTGTGAAATGATGTGTGGACCGTATTAGTTTGCGGATAGATAATGTCATGAAGAAAGGTACCCTACATAAATGCGTGAGTGAAGGAGACTTGACTCCGCTACACTTTTTTTTATATTTGTTATTACATATGATGGAAACGTAAAAAAAATAAGATTTGAAGTGAAAGTAGCTAGAATTCTGTCTAGAGGAGACTTGACTTAGCAAATAAATTTTCAATACTTTCATATAAGTGAAAGATACAAAATGAAAAAATATATACATAAATATAAAAAAGTTAAGTGAATATTGTGGCATTAACTTTCCTATTATACAAGTAAAACTTATAAGATTTGAAATTAAATTTTTATTTAAAAACTTATTATTAGTAAATATAAATATTACACACATATATATTATATAAATACTGAGTTTTAATATAATTCCATAATTTTTTTTTTTTATAATCAAGTGCAATAGTTTCCATACATGATCAATGGGAAGCTAATTTATGTGCATATATTTGTTGCTTTTGCTTCTACACTACTACAAGATCTATCATCTACATCGGTTCAAATAGGTAATCTACATCGGTTCAAAAACCGATGTAAACTAGGCAGACGTAGAAACATATATCCTTCTACATCAGTTTTAAAACCGATGTGGATTTGTGCAAAATTTACATCGGTTTTGCTGACAACCGATGTAAATTTTTGCACACCAATCTACATCGGTTCTATTTACAACCGATGTAGATTGTAATTTAAAAAAAATTATTTTTTAGATTTTTTCTGGTTACCTATAATAAACATATATATATCTCAAACACATAGGAATGACATATAATGATGATAACCTACAAACAAAAATATATGTTAAAATACTTGAAAATCCAGAAATCAAGTTTGTTAATCAAGCAGATTTCATGAAATATAAAACACCCCTGATTGACAAGTTTTGAGCCTAAGTATAAAATAAACAAAACAGAAGTAGTTTCACTTTCATGTTCTATGAAGAAAACAAGGCACACCAAATAAACAATACAAATGTTATAAGCATAGCACTTGTTTCAAAGTATATTGGAGACCAAAATCCAGTAAAGGCACCATACAGAAGAGCACAAACAGAATAAATATAGGATGTTGTAGTTCCCAAAGCAAGCAGGACATCCATGTTTGTTGAACCATTTCTAAGTGCTCTGCCAGCTGCTATATAGAAGCATTTCCCAGAATAAAATCATTACAAAATAATGAAAACATTGAAACAAGAGCCAAAATGAAAACATTGAACCAAGAGCCAAAACAAAAACAACAGCTCTTAACAGACTCTCAAAAGTCATTCATAGTACAATTTCTAAATCTAATTGAGTGACTGTGTGTTCTTTGATGATTTCACCCTTGTCTGGAGGCCTATGTTTAAATGTTTCATTTGAATTCCACTTGCTTCTGACATTTTGCCTGTTGCTTCTGTGGTTGATGCTGGTAAGAGAAATTCATTTTCAAAAATTAATGCTTGGTAAAAGATAGGTCCTGCTTAGTTCATATTCTGCTTATGAAATACATGTAAAGAAAATTAAAAAAGAAAATGTTCCCTCACCAATTTTATTGTTGCCAGTATTGGTTTGTCCATGCATATTTTTACTGATCCTGCATTTCTGCTATCAAAGATAAATTAATAACGAATCACATAAAATATATATGCAAAAATAAGACAATACAAATCATTTCAACAGTCTTTGCCCTATGAGTGCCAATCTGTTACAAAAGGTAATTAGTTTACCAGTTACAACAGAATAGTGAGACCAGTTACAACAGAATAGTGAGCAGGTTCTATTTTATATTTTATAATAAACTGATTCTTAGGCTAAGTTTAAAAAGATTGATTTTGTTTTCATGTCTTGAAAGGAACTTAAAAAATCCAAATCAAGTAACAACTACTTACAAGTAACTAGTACCATCATGTGTCTTGGTGTTCACCTTCACTACTTGAATTGCAATCTGTACATAACATTATCATAATTAAACTGAAAATTTAAATAAATAATATGGCCAAAATTAAATACATCTTATATTAATTATATTGGTCATTCATTGAAATAACATGTTACCTGAAGATGACTCTTTAAATGGTAGAGAGTAAGTCCAGGAATCCCCATCAGTTTCAATACTGTTTTTGGTGTAGCTTCTGCATAGAAAGAATAAGTTAGCTTCAAAATAACCATTTTCTGATTCACAGTTTTTGTATTGTGTGCATAGACTCACTGTCTGCTCCTCCAAGTTGATTGACTGCTTCTATGAACCGTTCATGAAGATCTAGTGTCCATTTTAGTCTAGGCTTAGCATCAGTTGAAAGAACAAGTCCTAAATCACCAGTTCCATTGCCTCCATGCATCATCATATGCGTCTCAGTAGGGTTATGCATCCTTAAAGCATGCATGTTCTTAGCTTGTTGCTGCTGCGGATAGTACATTATCTTTCAAGGTAAAAAAAATGATTTCATTATTCTATATAAATGCACAAGATAATATTAAAAGGGCAACCTAGTGCACAAGACTTGAACCTGTGACCTTAACAAAGCAACAACCTTACTGTTGGGCATTATAATTTGTGAGACACCTCACCTCACACGTTGCATTTGGAGAAAGCACTTGTCCATTGGAATTGTGTGCATTATACTTTCTGAGACACCTCACCTCACACGTTACAACAACGGTAAACGTACTCAACTTATTCTCACCCCTCACCTCACATACATAGGATGGTTTCCTAAATTTTAGCAGCAGCAACAACAGTAATAAGAAAATTAACACAATCAGATTACAAACATCATGATAATGTAAACGTACTCAACTTAATGAAAATATACATGCATTCTCGAGCATTGAAAAAGATGAAATATGATAGTAATGATGAAAGGCTGCGTAGAGCAATTAAGAGTATCCACTTGAGTATAGGAGGATATACACGATGCACAATCAACACCATTTTTTTGTTGCTCTGAAAATGGGCAGGTTTAGTTGCCCATTGACTTCGAATGTCTTCCAATTTGGTTTCCGGCAATGGTGCAACATCATCAAAAAGCTGTAACATACAGTATAATATATTAGTTAGATAAAAATCATGTAAATATTAATGATAGTAAAAGTAAAAGAATTACATTACCTCAATCCAATCATTTGTTACTTCGCCTTCAATTATGTCTAACATCCAATTCATCACATAATATCCACATTCGTAACCTCCTTGTTGTTGATTACTCTAAAATGAAAATTAGATTGAGTTGTATAAGTAATTTTTAATTTAAGCTAATAAAAAAACATTTTAGGCATATTGAGGTTACAAATCAATTACCATGGGATAAATCCAATCTAGGTTCTTTGGTTGTGCTGTAGATCTACCCCCCATGACATTATAGACAACCATAACACTAAGAAAATAAATGAATGTAAGTTAGATGGTGAAAATTTATAACAGAGAGCATAAAATAAATACCTGTTTGAAACTAAATTTTACCTTTTAATTAAATTTTTTATTTGAACATTTGGCTTATGATAGAAAGAACAAAACCAAACAGCAACATTCTTTGCAGGACAGAGAACCAATAACTGCCAATGATTTCTACATTTAGGCACAATTAGTTATACAATAGATACATAAATACACAAATTAAATGGAGTTCACAAAGATGCACTTACTGATCAACGTAAGGAGCAAAGTAAATTTGTTTGGGTGAATTTTGTAACCTTTCAATGATATAATTTTGAGACTCCGCTTTTTTATTCCCGGATTTTTGAATTGACTGGGGCTCAAGAAATCCATACAAGTCACCATGATTGAGTTCTTCAATTTTACGATTCAAATATCTAAAATACATACAAAAGAAAAAATTAATAGTGAAGGAAATCATAATTAAATAGATAATGACACTAACAATTGTGTACTTACAACATCCATAATTGTATAATTGAGATGTTAAGCATTGCTTCACGTTGTAATAATTCATATATATCTTGAAATGAAATATACAACGTAAAATCATCATCGCTGATCCCAAATAGACTTGCAGGACATATCACCTGAAATTGGGAACTTGGGTAAGTAGCAAACTTAAAATATAAATATGTTAAATAGTCTTTATATTAGTTAGTCAAGTCACCTGAAATGGTTGTCCATAAAGTAAGGACTTTGATGCCTCACGTAACCCAGTGATAGGATCACCATTGGGTTTTAACCTATCAATAGATGGAACTCGTTTATTTGCTCGATGAATATCCTATAAAATAAATCAAACATCAAACATTAATATGAATAAACAATATGTATTTGTAATTAAAGTTAGTAATAATGAAAAAATAGGAAAAAATATATACCGTGGTTGAAATAGGTCTGACAAGATGTCTCGGCCATGCAATGAAAGTTTTTAAGGCCTGCCCAACCAGCTGAACCTCTGAAGTAGGTATGGGAACTCGAGCATTAGAATCTTGAACTTCCTCAATGACCACCTTGACAAAATCATTTGTCAAAGGCACGTTGTGTATAGTTGAACTCCCCTCACAAACTCTACCAATGGCCACTACAAGCGGAGGAATCCCCTCAATGCATAACTCACACTTATTGGAGATATCAACATGAACCTCATGTCCAAAGGGATTACCAGGAACAGTAGCAGTTGAAGGAGTTTGGCAACTGCCTTTAGTGCTAACACAGGCCACGATAGCATGATCTACCTCAACTGGAGGAACATCCTGTGACTGTGCAGTACTCATATTTGGGTACTTTTCCATAAAAGCTTTTGTGACCCGTACATATATTTGTTGTATGAGAGCTTCAAGATCCTGTGGGCTCAATCTAGATAAGGATGACCCCTGTGATAATGGTCCAAAGTAATTACCAATATTAACACCAACCCTAGCTGTACGAACACGACCAGGATGCTCTGGTCGTCCAAGGGCAGTATTTAATATATCCTGACGGCCTTCAGGAATAAATGAACCTTGTGATTCTTGCTCCTCCAACACATTCTACAATAAACAAATTTTGTTTATAATATATCCGTAAATAACAAAAATCTACAATAAATCTTCAAATACATAGAGATTAATTTTATAAAAAAATACTTACAATTTTTTGTGCAATTTGACTAGCAGACTCAGAAGTCATCTCTCCAGAGTTTTTTGTGCGAGCCATGTTCCACAACCTATGGCGTGGAGGAGGAGGTGGAGGATCAATGTCTACATCCTCACTAGCACCAGATTGTATTGCTACCTCCTTAAGTCGTTTAAGTTCTCTTTTCATATAATTTCTCACAAGTAGCTCATAACCCCCACGAGACAATAGGTGGGGTGCATTATTGAGTTTCTGGATATCCTGTGCTTTTTTTCTTACAAGCTATAATAATTTAATAAAGCAATAATTAAAAGTGAAATAAAATTACAAATTTAATTTACATTTTACAAAAACAAAAAATAAACACAATTTACCTTCCAAGAAGGGTCATTCCGTATTGCAATTAACACTGTGCCATGCTCTCCACCCTTGTAGAATCTCTTGCCCAAGGTCGTGCCACGTTGACATATATGATAATTGCCTCATACATCCCACACTATGTCATGCTCACGCCACCCCTGTAGCTTCTCATGCCCAGGGTCGTGCCACACTAACATAAGTGTGAGGATATCCACAATCACATCACATTCAATTCATACCAATTGCCACACACAAATATTGCAATTAACACTGTGCCATGCTCTCCACCCTTGTAGCATCTCTTACCCAAGGTTGTGCCACGTTGACATACGTGATAATTGCCTCACACATCCCACACTATGCCATGCTCACGCCACCCCTGTAGCATCTCTTGCCCAAGGTCGTGATGGAGTTGGCAAGTGAAGTGAAAGAACTTGCTTCCTTTTCCTTCTCCAAGCTCACGGATCTTCTTCCTTGATGAAGAATTCTAGACTTGGACGCAGTTTAGAGGACCAAGAAGATTGAATTCCTAAGCTAAGATGGAAGCATCCAAGCTAGAAACTCAAAAGAGTGCTCATGGACTAAGCTTAGAAAATAGAATTCCTAAGGCTAAAATTATGGACTCTTTGGGGTGACTTTGAGAGAGACTTGGCTGATTCAATTTCAGAAATCTCTATTATGATTCAAAGTGTTGAAATGTGAAAAGAAAAGTCCAATTTATAGGCTAAGGAAGCAAGCATAATGGTGCCAACTCAAGGAGCACAATTGGCACCAAAAATTTGAATTTCAAATAGGATTTGGAATTCAAATTTCTTGGCAGCCCCATGTGCACGTCCAAGAGCTAATTCCATGTGCATTAAGGTTGCATTTAGAGTTAATTTGATGTTAATTTGGGTGGTCCATGTGCAACACCATGTGGATTAGCCCATGTGCACCAAATGCAACTCAAATTGCTCCTAAATGTGACCTTAATTTTAGCTAATTTTGCCTAATTAAACTTTCTCTTTATATTCCTATTCTAATGACCTAAATACAATGGCCAACCTATCAAAAATATTAAGAAATAATAAAAGAAACAAAATGAGCCAATATTGGGTACCAAAAGCCCAAAGGCCCATAAAGCCCAAAAATAAGTCTAATAAGCCTATGGCCCAAAAATGTTAATCTATGTGGTCCAAAATACAAGATCAAAATATATGAAATCTATACTAATATAATATATACAACATAGAAGAAAATGGATGTCTCAATGGTGTGGCCCATGTGAGAAGCAACTTGGGCCTTCCAAACCCATCGGGCCTATTGGGCTTTGACTAGCCCAAATCTTCATGTCTAGCTCATTCCTCTTGGATCCTTCAAGATATTACCTCTTTGAGCCTGAAGAGGCTAAATAAAGAATACTAGTGCTATTAGCCAACCAAAAGTGGTTGATAATACTTGGGACTAGGAGTGGTTGAGACCTGGAGTGGTCGAGAATACTCACTGCGAGTCTAAAGAGGCTGATAAAAGAATACTAGAGCCAATGAGTGAAGTTGGCCAACTAGGAGTGGTTGAGAATACTCATTACGAGCCTAAAGAGGCTGATTAAAGAATACTAGAGCCAATGAGTGAAGTTGGCCAACTAGGAGTGGTTGAGAATACTCATTACGAGCCTAAAGAGGCTGATTAAAGAATACTAGCGTTGATGAGTGAAGTTGGCAGGCCAGAAGTGGTCGATAATACTATTTGTACTTAATTGAAAATCTAGTGGAACCCTTCAATTGAGCGAACCAGTATAAAAAATACTTGCATTGTTTCTCTATGTTTCAGACGCAATTTCGTTTAGTAGATTTATCATACTGAAAACTTCCTCCAATGCTTATCGTTCATTACAATTATCTTTAGACAAAAACCAAACTTTTTTTAATTTAATATCTTAAAGAACAATTTTCGTTTAAGAAGCATTTTCTCTGTGCAGACGATAAACTCTTAGACGCAAAAATCTTTTGTTGAACCAATCCTACACAGTTTCTGTTAAGCATTCAAAATAATATTTTTACTAGATGAAAAAGAGCTTCCTTGTGAAAACATTTTTAAAATTCCTTTGTTCACACTCACACATATTCAACTCCCATTCTATGTGTTTTCATCTAACTTCAATTTTGAATCAATTTTTAGCTAATTCAATATGTAAAATTTGTAACTTTAAATTTACTGATATGAAAATTGTGATATGTAATTGACGTTTGGTATATGTTCCTAAGTTACACTTAGAACTCCTTAGTCTACAGAGATAAATACACTATGGTACGTTTGACTCTATAAGCTCTATCTCTGGTTTCATTACTTTGTGGGCTTGATATCACTCTTTGCCAATGCCAAAGCCAACCTTTTCAGGTTTGAAGTTGTGACATATATATAGTCTTATAAAATTTGCCCGTTACAAGTGTCCGTTGAAGCAGGATGTAGTCGTTCATGACTAGTTCGATCTTCTTATTTAATGCATTAGATCTTGTATTAAATGTTGCTTCCTGTTTATAGACATTGTGTGAAGTCTTCTACGTTTGTTAGCTGCTGTGTCTAACTTTAGCAGAGACCTAAGAACTTTTTGTCCTTTTCCGGTCATCGTAGTTGTAGAGCGTTGTCCTTATCTGAAAAAGTAATGTACTTTTTCTGATACATGCATACTTTTACTTTTGCGTGTTTTTCTTCTTCTTCTTCTCTTCATTTAATCACGCAATCATGTTGAGAGCTTTCGTATGATCATAGACGATGCCTGAGTTGTCCCTTGAGACTTGATTCTTCAAATACTTGTATGGCAATCTTCATCTCCGTTTGATAGTCCATGTGCATCTCAAGTTTTTATCTTCTTCTGAGCATTAGTCATTAATGCTTTGACTTTCTTTGGTCTGGTCAACATTGTAGATGGACAAACTTTGTTTTCGTCTAAAATACTTTTTAGTCTGTGTTGTCCTTTATCTGACATGTAGTTGACTTTCTTCTGTTCTTTGACTAGCCTTCGTCTAAGTTCTTATGCTGCGCTCTAGGTTGTGCTTGACACACCTTCGTCTGATATTTTAACTTATCATCGTCTGGCGCACATTTCTTATTCCATCTGTCATTCAATTCCAAGTGAAGGACCACAACATGATTAAATACTACCATGCCTATCAAAAGTTAAAAGCAAATTTCCAAGAGGTCTTGGTCGAGCACATCCCGCGTGAAGACAACACCCGAGCCGACTAGTTGGCTAGATTGGTCGCCAATAGCAAAGCAAAAGACACACCTAAGTAAATTACAAAAGAGTACATGCATCGCAAAAAACAACCGCATACCTTGGTGTAGTTGTGGACATGTGCCAAACTTTCAAGAACACTCCAACTATTGAAGTGGCCAAGTGTTATCACTAGATGGTACAGTTTTGGTGCCAAACTCAGATCAACAGCAGTGACTTTCTCCCCAGCAACATATGGACCCTGGCCATGCCACCAGCATATTAGCATTGATAATTAGCCATTACAAAAAAAGAATAATGAACAAAAATAAAATTAGTTTATTATAAATTCACATATGTACGTGGGCCTTAAGATGGTCATCCAAAGCACTCAATTCAGAAACCAAAGCTTGCTCTGTTCCATCATTTGAATCCTTGCTCTTCAGAAAAGACACAAAAGACCCAAATATCTTTGATCCCCTATAAATGTATTCATATTGTGTAAAGTCAAATTCAGTACTGAAGAACAACTCTCAATTCAAATAATATCTCCTAAAAAGACTAGAACAAGGCATAAGCTAAGGACAAAGAACCCTTATTTTTTCTATAGTTAACCTAAGAAAAGGAATGGACAAATAACAAGTTACTGATTCAGAAATTTTCTATAGTACTCTTTGAATTTTGACAATCCTCATTTGCCACTGAATAGTTAATATATATATATTCACCGAATGATTCAGCTAAAGAATCAAATCATTGAAAATGTTCAGCAATAATTGGAACGAATCAATTCTTTGACTTCATTCAATTTCTTGTTTACGACTAAAACTGAATCTAGAGTCACTAAATACAGCTGATTGTTGACTCAGTACCCTCCCATGAAAACACCATGTGCTTTATGCCAAATAGAAGTCAAACACCTGACTTTTTAGCACCTCCCAACATAGCACCACCCATTACAAAAAGATATCCAAAGTGAAAACAAAGTGCATGTGAACACAGAACCACATCAAAATTGGAAAACTTAACTATTCCTCAGAAAGAACCCTACAACACAGATTTCACAAAACACACTAAACTCGATGAAACCCTAAACATTCATCAGAAACTTACGACCAGGTGAGACAAACCTGCTATTCGAAAGCAACACAATGAGGCTTCCAATGCTTCCAGAGAGGCTTCTTCGAGGGAAAGGGGTTGCACAAAACAAACCTTATACCTGAAAATAAAATAATAAAGTTATAGATGATGCTTAGAGAAGTTTATTCAGGGGCAAGGGATTCAGGGGCAAGGGCTCATGGGTGCGCAAGGTAAGCAAATCAAAGAAAAAGGTTTCAGTTGATGCTTACAGAGGGTTATTCAGGAGCAACGGATTTAGGGGAAAGCGCAGGCCAAGGGTGGGGCAACAGCGGGGCAATGGCGGGGCAAGGGTGGGGCAACGGTGGGGCAAGGGCTCATGCGCCCGCGGGGAAAGCAAAGGGTTCTCAATATTCAGGAGCAAGGGATTCAGGGACTACGCGCGGGAAGCAAATTAAGGGTTCTCAATATTACATCGGTCACTAACTTAACCGATGTAGATATCTTTGTGTTTTTGGCTTATTTACAAAAATGCCACCGTCTTTCTAATACTACATCGGTTCTTATTAAACCCGATGTAGATTGTTGTATATTTACATCGGTCTCACTTAAAACCGATGTAAATATGCTTGATATCATACAACTAATTACGATAATGCCACCGTGCCTTATTTTTACATCGTTTTTTTGTTAACCGATGTAGATGTGGTGATGTAGATTTGTATTTTTGTAGTAGTGCTAGTTACAAGTGTTTTAT